TGAACCCACAACCTTGGCTCTTAGGAAGATGCTCTAACCAACTGACCTACCTGGCCAGGACTTTTTATCTGTTTTCTAAAGGCAGAAGTTTTAGGGGAAGTCTAGGAGAGGATCTTTTTTTTTTCTTTCTCTTTCCTTTATTGATTTTTAGAGAGAGGAAGAGAGAGGGAGAGAGAGATAGAAACATTAATGAGAAAGAACATCGACTGGCCTCCTCCTGCATGCCCGCACTGGGGATTTGGCCCACAACCTGGGCATGTGCCCTGAGCTGGAATCAAACCAGCGACCTCCTGACACTCAACCACTGAACCACACTGGGTGGGCAGGAGAGGATCTTAATAGACTAGTCATCAGCTTTTTGCTGATGAGCCAACATGAGATTTATTTCCCTGACTTCATCCTTCCTTGGGTGTGGTTGGCACAAATTGCACTAATTGGATTTCTGTTATCTGTCTCCCTGATTAGGGTGATTTAAGCTATTTACCCTATGGTTGGGGAGGAGTATAAACCATTTACTCTTAAGTGTCCTTGGTTAGGGAAGATAGAATTTTGATTTACTAGATGACTCTAAACTGTGTAGCCATTTGACTATCTGTCTCAGTTTCCCTATTCCACTTGTTCTGGCTTACTAACCTATCTCGGTTTCTTGTTTTATACCTACTTACTTCTCCTGTGAGGTTGAATTACTGTTAATGTTTACACCAGAGTCATATTTTACCCAAATGTTGGGTTCTAAAAGTTAACTACTAAAGCAAAAGACAATATTATGTTTATTCTATACCATTCTATTTTTTAAAATGCTGATTACTCTGTAAATTGATCTCACAATCCACTAATGGATCATAACCCACAGTTTGAAAACATTGTCTTAAATCATTCATAAAATATTAATAGTATCTTCTGTAGCTGATATTATCAGTTCCTCTCTCTATCAGTGTTTCTCTATAGACCATAATTAATTCTGCAGTTTGTTTTCTGGAAGACAAAGCCATTCCAACCCACTTTGTAAGACCATCTGAACAGTGCTCGGCACTGCCTGTGGTATATACTCATTGTGGGGAATAATAGAGTTGAATCACCTCTCTCTTTTTTCTTGAACATTTGCAATCAGATTTGCATAAATCAAACTTAACTATGATTTGAATCTATTGAATTAGCTTCTAATTCCAAATCTAGAAATAGTATGTTTATATCCTTTGACTATTTCATCTGTTGAAGACATCTAAGTTTTTTTTATCCCTTTTGTATAGGCTTCACATATTTTATACCATCACTGTTGAGAGATCAAGTATATAGAAATAGACAATAACCAGATCATGTATGTTGATAGAATTCTGTCCCATACACCTCTGTGGCAACCAGCCCAGAATGGTCAGGACTTGATCAATGACAGTCACTTTCTTTATTTCTTTGCCCACTCTCTCCAATTCCCAGCTCAGGACCAACCAGAGAAAGCCAAATATGCTCCCAAACTTATCACATAACCTGTCCTGTTTCTAGGTAGCCCACCTCCAGCTTTCCTGTGCCAAAAATCTCCAGTCAGAGCACACCTGAAACCTATTTTATTCACCACAAATCTTTCCCACTCTGACAGGCTTTGAATCACTGCCAAAAGCATGTGATGGTGGTGACTCCCTTGCTCAGCAAGGGTAGGTGTTCATTTCCACACTACGTTTGTTGCAAATTCTTTTCACACTTGGTTGTTTAGCTTTGATTTTTTTTAAATCCTCACCTAAAGACATTTCTGCATTTATCTTCAGATAGAGCGTGAGGGAGAGAGGGAGAAAGACATGGATGTAAGACATACACATTGAGTGGCTGCCACCCACACGACCCCAACCAGGGCCGGGGACAAACTGCAACTGAGGTACGTGCCCTTAGCAGGAACCGAACCCAGGACTCTCTGGTCCGCATGCCGACACTCTAACCTCTGAGCCAAACTGGCCAGGGCTAGCTTTGATTTTTTTTTTTTTTTTTTTAATCCTCACCCGAGGATATTTTTCCATTTTTTGTACAGACAGAGTAGGAGGGAGAGAGAGAGAGAAACATCGACGTGAAGGGACACATTGAGTGGCTGCCACCCGCACGACCAACCAGGACCGGGGACAAACTGCAACCCTAGCTTTGATTTTTTATGATGCTTTTTAACACATATGATTTAAAATGTTATGTAATCAGATCTACTCAACTCTTTAGTTTTTGAGACTTTCCATTGCTCATTTGCTTGGCAAATCTTTCTCAAAAGATGGTGGGATGAATTCATACATTAGCTTCTACTCCTCCCTCAATCCCACTAGGAGACATTAAGGGTAGAAAAGGAAAAAGAGAACAGGTGAAAACCCTTTTCCCATCCAGCTAATTCCCTTCCCTTACTCCCCCCTGGAATAGTGACAGCCAGGATTATGTTTTCAAGGCAGAAGATTGGCAGTGTCTTCCCTGAATATCAATGATAAGAACAATAGCTAATGTTTATTTAGTACTTACTATGTGCCAGGTAGAGTCTTATATACATTAACTCATTCTCACATTAACTCTATGACGTAAGCACTATTATCATCCTCACTTTACAGATAAAGAAACTAAGGCCCAGAGAGGTTAGGAATTTAGCAAATGAGTAGTAGACTCTGCATTTGAACCTAAGTAATCAGGCTCGGTCTTACTCTTACACTTGATCTTAGCCAAAAGGCCGAGAAGCGATCGGTCTATACTCTTAATAATTGCCTTACTGTCTCCTTTTTAGGAAAGACCTAAAGTTACTGACATCAAGAGTTTCCCACAAAACAGCCCACCCAGATTACTCTGCAATGAAACCTCCAGCTGAAAAGCACCCCCTCACACAGAACTTACAATTTCTTATTGCTCCTTTCTTTTTTTTTTTTTTTTTTTATCCTCACCCGAGGATACTTTTCCATTTTTTGCACAGATAGAGTGGGAGGGAGAGAGAGGAAGGGAGAGAGAGAAACATCGACGTGAAGGGACACATCGAGTGGCTGCCACCCGCACGACCAGCCAGGGCCGGGGACAAACTGCAACCGAAGTACGTGCCCTTAGCGGGAACCGAACCCGGGTCTCTCCGGACCGCAGGCCGACGCTCTAACCGCTGAGCCAAACTGGCCAGGGCTATTGCTCCTTTCTTAGATAGGAGCAGACAGTGAGGACCCCAGACTCTCCAGACATTGGAGGGAGATTTTTTGCCTTCTTTTATTTTAACCAACTTTGATAAATAATCTGAATAAAATAATATGCACCTAAATAACACTGTATTATATACCTGAAATTTGTTAAGAGAGTAATTGTAAATGTTTTCACCAGGAAAAAAAAAGGTGACTGTGAGGTTATGGATGTGTTAACTAACCTTGTTGTGGTAATCATTTAACAATATATGTGTATCAAATCATCACGTTGTTCATCTTAAACTTACACACTGTTATTTGTCAATTATATCTCAATATATCTGGGGGGAAATGCACCTATGTTAAGTGTATAGTTTGATGAGTTTTGACAAATGTGTATATCAGTGTAACACCACTACAATCACCATATAAAGCAATTAACATCCATCACGACAGGTAGCTACAAAAATCTTTTTTCCTTTTGCATTTCCTCGGAAACTATTAAGTTATTTAATATAAAATTTTTTAAATGTCCGGGTATAAGGACGCTTTAAAATTTTTTTATTAATAGTTTCTAGTTTTATGTGATCAGAGTGTTGTTTGTAAAATGTCCACCTCATAGAGCTTATAAAGTTTTTCTCATGCCCTGCTTTGTGATCAGTTTTTAAGATCGTTTTTTGAATACATGAAAAGGTGTATTCAGGGTAAAATATTTGACATATAACCATAAGATTGTCAATTTTAATGGCATCCTTTAACTCCTACCTGTTGCCTATGCAGCAATGAACTTCCTCTTTCCTGCTTCTTCTTCCATTTTTCAGTTGCATTATTTCTACTTTGTTGCAATATATTACATTTGTACATTGGTCTTCTACCCTCATTCTCACCTGTCTTTCAGTCTTTGACCTAAAGTTATCTATATTAAAATACTCACCATCAATCCTTTTGTGAAAAATTCCAAGTCATCTCCTGGTTGAATAAAGCTTAACCTCTAAGAGATTCCTCAAGAAAGGCCCTTATGCCCTGGCTGGTTTGGCTCAGCGGTTGGAGTGTTGGCCTGTGGACTAGAGAGTCCTGGGTTCGGTTCCCGCTAGAAGCACGTACCAAAAAAATAAAAAAAGAAAGGCCCTTAGTTCCTGTATGCTGAAAATGCTCTTTTGTTGTTGTTGTTCAGATAGAGTGGGGAGGGAGAGAGAGAGAGAGAAACATCGACGTGAAAGGGACACATCAAGTGGTTGCCACCCGCATGACCCAACCAGGGCCGGGACAAACTGCAACCGAGGTACATGCCCTTAGCGGGAACAGAACCTGAGTCTCTCTGGACCGCAGGCCGACGCCCTACCGCTGAGCCAAACTGGCCAGGGCTGAAAATGCTTTTTGTTGGTTTTGTTTTGTTTTTTGACACTTGAAAAGTAGTTAGGTTGCCTTGGATTATACTTTTTTTCATTCAGTTTCTAGAAAATGCTGCTCTATTTTTGCTTTGCTTGAGAAGTGTGATACTATCCTTATTCTTTTCCACTTGCAAATTTTAAGTCTTTTTTTTGCCTGGAGGCTTTCAGAATTTATTTCCTTATCTTTAAAGTCTGACAGTTTTGCCCAGATATATCTCAGATTTAATCATTTCAGGTTGATTTTCCCAGGTACTTGATAGGTTTTATCAAAATGTAGATTCAGGTTTTCAGTTGTTCCTGAAAATGTTTTTTGAATTATAGTTTTTAATGTTCCTTTTTTTAAAAATAAATTTGAGAGAGAATTTGTTGTTCCACTTATTTATGCATTCGTTGGTTGATTCTTATATGTGCCCTAACCGGCAAGTGAACCCGCAACCTTGGCATATCAGGACGAGGCTCTAACCAACTGAGCTACCCAGGCAGGGCTTTAAAAAAAAAAAAAATAGAATGCTTCACAAATTTGCATGTCATCCTTGCACAGGGGCCAAGCTAATCTCTGTATCATTCCAATTTTACTCTATGTGCTGCTGCCGAAGCAAACTTACATGTTAGTTCTGTTCCATTTGTTTTCTTTTTTTTTTTTTTTTTTATCCTCACCCGAGGACATTTTTCGATATTTTGTTCAGATAGAGTGGGAGGGGGAGAGAGAGAGAGAGAGAGAGAGAAACATCGACGTGAAAGGGACACATCGAGTGGCTGCCACCCACACGACCCAACCAGGGCCGGGGACAAACTGCAACCGAGGTACGTGCCTTTGGCAGGAACCGAACCCGGGTCTCTCCAGACCGCAGGCCGACGCTCTAACCGCTGAGCCAAACCGGCCAGGGCTCCATTTGTTTTCTTTTTCAGGGACTCTAATTATATAAATGACTGTTCTTTGCATTTATTCTATTTCTAACCCTCCCCTTTTTTTCTTCTTTCTTTGTCTTATTTTCATTTTTTAAATTTTTAGTCTTTGCAGATAGAATGGGAGAGAGGGGGGGAGAGAGAAAGAGAGAGAGAGAGAGAGAGACATCGACGTGCAAGGGACACATTGAGTGGCTGCCACCCACACAACCCAACCAGGGCCAGGGACAAACTGCAGCCAAGGCATGCGCCCTTAGTGGAAACTGAACCTGGGTCTCTCTGTACCACAGGCCGATGCTCTAACTGCTGAGCCAAACTGGCCAGGGCTGTTTTATTTTCATTTTATAGTTGTTTTCCTGCCTTCCTTTCCAGCTAAGCTCTCAACTTGAGTATTTACGTTTTTTTCCTCTTTTTAAAAATACGTTTTTAGCCCTGGCCGGTTTGGCTCAGCAGTTAGAGTGTTGGCCCATGGATCAAAGAGTTCGATTCCGGTCAAGAGCATGTACCTTGGTTGTGGTTCAGCCCCCTGGTTGGGGTCGTGTGGGAGGCAACCAATTGATGTGTCTCTCTCACACCGATGTCTCCCTCTCTCTCTCTCTCCTCCTCCCACTCTGGCTGAAGATAAATAGACAAAGTATCCTTGAGTGAGGATTTAAAAACAAAAATAATAAAAATAAAAATAGGTTTTTATAAATAATATATTTAAAGGTTTTGATCCTCTACATAAAGAACACCACATTAAGAAAAATATGCAAATTTTGGTAAGAGTTTAAATTTTGAGAGGTTCAAGCCTGATGCCAAGCCTTTGCATTTCTACTGCTTCTGTTCCAAAGAACCAGTGGATAATACTTTTCGGGCACAACACCCCACTATCCTGTATAGTTCCTTTTCTCCTGGGTCAGACAGCTTTGCGCTGCTTCATTAACCCCTTCTTTGCTTGTGATGGATCTTAGAATCCAGTTTCTAGATTTTTGAATTTCCTTTAATAGGAAAACTACACAATCATTTCTGGGGGATTGTGCAGATGAAAACACATGTCGGATCAGATTCTTGACTCATGGTTGGACACTTTTTCCAAAGCATCCTTAACCCTCCCACCCTACCTCAAGCCAAGCTGAGCTGGGAGTTAGGTTCCATCCTTGGTGCATTTCTTTATTTATATGATAATTATTACAGTGTTCTTGTCTCAGTCTCTTTCAGTGGATTTGAAGATCTTTCCATTTTTGTTTGCTGCTTGTTCTCTTCACCCATCCTCTTCTCTCAACAAACTGCTTTGCTATTACTCTCTGTACAGGCCTGTACCTTCCTACTTCACCTTACTCCTGCTCCTCAGAATATGCTTTTCAACCATCTAAGTAGGAAAATTTTCTTTTTCTTCTTTAAGTGTAGCACCTAATGACTTAAAAATGCCTATGCACCCATGCAACCACCACCCAGGTCAGGTTCCCAGACACCCCTTCACCCTTCTATCAGTCAATACTTTCTCCCCTCAGTCAAAACTACCGCATCGAAGGTAACTTCTTTTCTGACTTCTATCCTTGTTAGTTGGGCCCTTTCTTGGTATTCATATATATGAAGTCATAGAGTATGAAATCTTTTGTGTCTGGCTTCTTTCATTCAATGTTGTGTATATGAGATTCAATGTGTATAGCACTGTACTCATCATGCTCCTGCCCAAAAAACCTTCTCTCCAAGAATTGATTTTCCTGGTGAATAGCGTCCTCAGGGTGGTTTCAAAGTCTTGGGGGGCCCAGGTGTGCCTGGGAATCTCTGCTTCTTTTTTTTTTTTATCCTCACCCGAGGACATTTTTTCCATTTTTTGTTCGGATAGAGTGGGAGGGAGAGAGAGAGAGACAAAGAAATATCGACGTGAAAGGGACACATCAAGTGGTTGCCACCCACACGACCCATCCAGGGCCGTGGACAAACTGCAACCGAGGTACGCACCCTTAGCGGGAACCGAACCCGGGTCTCTCTGGATCGCAGGCGGATGCTCTAACCGCTGAGCCAAACTGGCCAGTACAAATCTCTGCTTCTTATTTTGGTCTTCGTTAACCAGATAGGAAGACTTGTTTTCAGACAACATTGTCAATGCCACTCCCGTGGAAGCTGAACGGAAGGTGATGATGCTGATCCACTGGACATGATGGGATTCTCAGCTGTGGGCTGAGTGGAGCCTGGGAGGTTCAGGATGAAGAGGACAGGGCCTGCCGCTTGATAACTTAGTTGATGTTCCTTACAGTCTCAAAGACGTGCCTCTGGTGGATTATGTCTGGAGAGTCTACTTCTGACTGCAGTTTCTTGTTCTGTTGCAAAGTTGCTCATGAGCAATAGGTTCAGCAAGGGCCGAGGGGTTTGACATGGTCTGTTTGGGAGGTTTGCCTCTCTTCTGGGGTCAGATGAAGAATCGCCATGCACTATACACTCCACACACTCGTCCTTCAGCTGCATAGTTCATAGCTCACCTGCTGCTGGGCACCTTAAGAAGCCTGTGGAGGTTGGATGAATTTTACAGTGGCAAATTAGGAAGGGACTAATTCCAGAAAATATTTTAAGTGGAAGGCCCTTCCAATCCACAAACTAAAATTCTTTCCTTTCTGATAAAAATGAGATGGCTCTTAAAACTGGCTGAGTTTCTGGGTTTTGGAGGAAAATTATAATTTTGCGGGCCTGAAAAGAATCTGTCCATGGAAACTAAAGCCCTTCAGAGGGGCTAATACACTAGGAGAACTAGCCCAGCAGTGCACAGTGCCACCTAGTGGTTAGCCTGCATCAGAAAGGTCTTCCTTCTGAAAAGCTTGTGACAGCAGAGAGGGGGCTGGACCACAGGCAGATAAAAACCTTGCATGCCTGGCCAGTGTAGCTCAGTGAATGAGCATTGTCCCATGGACTGAGAGGTCCCAGTTTGATTCCCAGTCGGGGCACATGCCCAGGTTGTGGGCTTAATCCCCAGCGGGAGGTGTGCAGGAGGCAGCTGGTCGAGATGTTTTTATCTTTCTCTCCTTTCCTCTCTCTCTAAAAAAACTCAATAAAAAAAACATATTTAAAAAACAAAATTCTGCAGAATGATCTATAACAGTGATTTTCAACCTTTTTCATCTCATGGCACACATAACCTAATTACTAAAATTCTGCAGCACATCAAAAATACATATTTTTTGCTGATCTGACAAAAATAGGTATGATTTTGATTGAAAGATCTTTTTGCAGAAGAACATTAAAAATATAAACAATAAAATGGCAATAAATACATATCTGTCAACAATTAAATCTACAAACAAAATAAGCATAACAGAAACAGACCCAAAGATACAGAGAACTTTTTGTTAGTTGCCAGATGGTAAAGGGTTTGGGGGATGGGTGAAAAAGGTGAAGAGATTAAAAAGTACAAATTGGCCCTGGCCAGTTTTGCTCTGTGGTTAGAGCACCAGCCCATGGGCCTAAGGGTCTCGAGTTTGATTCCCAGTCAAGGGCACATACCCGGGTTGCAGGTTTAATTTCTGGCTCTGGTCAGGGTCATGCCAGGGGCAACCAATCAATGTTTCTCTCCTACATTGATCTCTCTCTCTCTCTTCCTACCTCCTTCCCTCCCTCCCTTCCACTCCATCTACAAATCAGTGGAAGCCCTAGCCGGTTTGGCTCAGCGGTTAGAGCGTCGGCCCGCAGACCAGAGAGACCCGGGTTCAGTTCCTGCTAAGGGCATGAAACTCGGTTGCAGTTTGTCTCCGGCCCTGGTTGGGGTCGTTTGGGTGGCAACCACTCGATGTGTCTCTCCACATCGATGTTTCTCTCTCTTCCTCTCTCTCTCCTTCCCACTCTATCTAAAGATAAATGCAAAAAAAATAAAAATCAGTGAAAAAATATTTTCAGGTGAGGATTAACAAAAATAAAAAGAAGTACAAATTAGATTGAGGAAACTCAGAGGAAAGGGGGGGAGAGATAAACCAAAGGATTTATACGCATATATGCATAAACAATGGACACAGACAATAGTGTTGGCAAGGTAGGAGGGGGGTGGGAGCAGGGAGGAGGGGTGAATGGGTGAAAAAAGGGGGGACATCTGTAATACTTTCAACAGTAAAGATAAATAATAAAAAAAGAAACACAGTTCAAAAAGGGAACCTCAGGTTCACCTGGTTGCTCTTACTGTTCAGAAGAGGAAATGGTAAGCTAAGAGAGACAAGATCTCAAGAAACAGAGAGGATGTAAATGTGTAGCAGTTGCCGCTGACCTTTACTACAGATCAGCGATTTTCAACCACTGTGCCTCATGGCTACTTAGTGAGAGGTCTGGAGCTGGCTGAGGCCAGATGCTTGTTTGAGAGATTTTAGAAAAATCTGAAGCATCAGCCCTGGCATGCCAGTCCTTTGGTAAAACCACTGGAAACAGTTTGGGTGGGCCTAAAAGCTGTGGAATCACCAGGCAGGGAAAACAGTGTGAGCCAGGTTGCTAGAATCCCAGATATGGCACCTGTCTGCCAGCCCCATGGGGGAAGGGCTCATAAGAGGAACAGCTTCTGCCAACACCTCTGTCTGGAAGAAAGCTGCCTCTCCAGCTCTCTCCCCTATGCGAAACAATGCAGTTCTTTCCTGTAGGTCTCTGGTGCCTTTCAAGCTGCCTCCTTCATACTGGAGCCCAGAGGGAGTGAGTCTGCGAAAGTCCGTGTGTGGGCCCTTTAAGAGGAACTGCATGG